GGTTTGTACGAACGCCAGAGCTCTATTCACCGAAACGCTCTACTTCCCGATTACTTTCAAATCCTGCTTCACGCCCCCATTTCAGTGGACGCTCCGAACCTAACTCCCATTTAACCTTCCAGCTTTCTTGGCACCAACTTTGTGTGTTTGCCTATTAGATTTGTAGCGCATGGGTCGCCCAGAATATATAGGCCGTAAGGACCTGACTTCATACAAGGCACCGCCGTGGTTGCCGATGTTGTGCCCTTTATCAAGGGCTGACGACGGCCACACGACGCCTGCCCCCCTAATATAGGTGGGGTTCAAATTCTGGTAAGGTCGCTCGCGGATCATCGCATTAAACCACACGCTCCTCTAATTGGTTGGCGAACCGTCAGATTTCTTAAATTTCAACTTTGCAATCATACTCTTCAGGCGGGACCCTCTTGCATTTACTTACATGTATACGTACGCATACATATATGGCCCATCTTTCGCGGTGTGGACTACCTGGGTATCTAATCCTACTCGCTCCCCACACTTTCGTGCTTAAATGTCAGCCCCTTATGAACCAACCACAGGTTGGTTGTTACACAGTAGCTCGCTTTCGCCTCTGGTGTACCTATAGTACAGGGTCACTGTCCAAATTTTGCTAAAAATGAAAAGTATAGAATTCTCAATTTTTATTACATTTCCTGATACATATACATGTTCTTATGTTGTGTAGAAAGTTTGAGCTGATTCTGATAAAAATTGAATTTTTTGCGAATTTTTAAAGTTGCTTCGAAATTGGACAAAAGTCCCTGTACTATAGTACAGGGTCACTGTCCAACATTTGCCAAAAATGAAAAGTTGAGAACTCTCCATTTTTATTACATTTCCTGATGCATATACATGTTCTTATGTTGTGTAGAAAGCTTGAGCTGATTCTGTTAAAAATTAGATTTGTTACGAATTTTTAAAGTTGCTAAAGAACCAGCCCAAAAACCCTGTATGATATGTATTGATCTACTACATTTACATGTACATGTATTTACATGTATCATCATCATCATTATTATTATTATGTAATGTACATGTACATTTCATGTTTTCAGATGTTCGTACTCAGGCTAATTACCAGTTGATGGGTCGTCATTTTGTTGGTCTCATTTTCTCGTGTTTTGAAGAAATTGATAAAGTAAGTAACCACACCCACTTTAATTAACTACCATCACCTCCACCCACACACAGAAATGCTCCACTAAAGTTATCTGTTTTCAATCAATTCCAAAACTAAATGATCCTTTAAAGTAAGCCCAGCCTTTTTTTAATAGACCACACCCATTTCTCCACCCACTAGTTATGATCATGTTACATTAGAGTGTAAGGTGGTCCCTACAGTACAGGGGACTGTGAGTCCTATGGCTTCATCTGGTCTCATTAGATTATTAAATATATTAATTGAAGAAGAGAAACATTCTTATGAGAACAACCAGAAGTAGGTTTTATGATTATTATACTGTACAAGATGATTTATTGGCTGGAAAATGTTTGGCAAATTTGCTTGTGGAAAGAAATTGGCAGATTTTATATTAGCAATTTCTTCATAGAACCGCCAATTACCAATATTAATTCCACACTAATAAATCATCTTGTACGGTAATTAACCTAAAAATAAGAAAATTAAAATTTTTAATAAATAATTTTTTAATTTTTCTTATTTTTAGGTTTAGTAGTGATGAGCTAACACTGTTGCATAATGGAGCAGGTAATTAATTAATTATTAATTAAGTAATTAATTAATTGTTATTAATAGTTTATGTGCAAAGTCTGTCTCAATTACTTCAAGTGATTGGAGCTCCTTTATTGCAGTTATTACAGGAATTATTGATTAATAATAATAATGTTATTAATAAGTTAGAGAAAGAAAGGGATAGACTATTAGTGTCACTAAGCACTGAGGGAGAGTCCGTCTAATTATTATTATTATTATTATTATTATTATTATTATTATTATTATTATTATTATTATTATTAATGTCACTTTTTATTACGACCTGCCCTTAGGTCATTAATAGTAATTATTGTTTCACAACTGCTTTATGTATTACATTTCCATGTATGGCTCTGGGAGTGTTAGAGTAAGTATAACCTTCAAGATGTGGTATGCCTTCTTTTCCTTAAGGCCCCCATCATATACAATACAACTTTATTGTGATGAGCCTAGAATGAAGCTGCCTTATTCTGGGCAACATGTTGACTGTTGTAGGATTGACTGGTATATGGTAGCTAAGGAAAGTAGGATTTTTTTACTTATAGTGTACATGTAGTTTTAAAATCTAGCTACAGTGAAAATTAAAAAACGTAAATACAGTCTATAACAGCGTGAAGTAAATACATTAGTTTTATGCTCAAACTGATGTCTCTTCATATTACACTTTTTTCATCGCTTTCAAATTTGAGCAAAGTATGATTCCATCACTTGTGGCTCCATTAGATTTCCAGCATATCCTATTGTATTATATTAGTCCAATTCACAGTACAGTATACACTTACCAGCAATCATCACTCAGAATATCACTTAGAAACTCGTAGTAGAAAGTTTCTCCATCGAGATCACAATAAGACGATGGATATTCCACTTCAACTTTGACAAGCAATGATGACTTCTTTGCAGGTGGTGGCTGTGAGGTTTGGAAACAATGAAAGCAACATAAATCCACCTTAGTGATTGTGAAAGCATAGTTGAAATCAGCCTATAAAACAATGCATGATAGATAATGATATAATGTATTGTCTTACCAAACTACGTTTGTCTGTAGTTGTAGCTGCATGAGCAGCATCTATGATTTTTTGTGCTAAATTTTTGGCAGTAGGTAACTTTTTGAAAGCCTTTTTATCAGAGTAGGTTATATTGATCAGTACGCATTGATCTGTTGCAAGTGTTGCTGACCGACCTTTTGTCATTGTTGACCGATCTGCTGTAAGTGTTGTTGACTGACCTTTTTTCATTGTTGACTGACCTGTTATCATTGTTGGCTGATCTGTTGCTGATGGAAGTAGTTTGAATTCCCATTCTTGTAGGTTCCCTTTGTTTTGAAGCAGCTTTTTCTGAATTTTTGTGAAACTTCCAGGTTTTGTTTTAGCAATATAATACGCTCCATCTTTATTTATTGGTTTCTTACCCCCTTCTTCAATTAGTTTAATTTCAAACTCTCTTACCAATACATCAAGGACAGAAAACTCGTCTGTGTGTGGATTCCTAGGCTTGATCCTAATCTTTTCCATTCAAGCTACATGTATGATACTAACTTGCAGAGGTGTATAGTGTATTCATAAATCATGTGGTCGGTCACCCCATCAAGCCAGTATAATTACCTAACATAGACTATACCAATTAAGAGATACTATGATTATGATAATTGCAAAAGAGTGTGTCTCTTGTTCATGGCATTGATATGCATGTACATGTAATGACATACTTTAACTTCATAATTAGTAAAACAGCTATAGCGGCCTCAAAAGGATGTATCTCAATGTATTTATTATTATTGTGAAAAATTGACAGCCTTAAAATATTGACTCAGCTTAAACTTATACATGCAGTAAACAATACATAAATGCATGCACACAGTATAACAATTGAAGCTACATTGTCAGCAATAAGCATTGTGACCAATATAATAAGCAATAAATAATATTATACATAACAGCCTCCAAAGGAGTAGCTATAGCCTGCATAAAAGAAATAATACAAACTGAGATGAAAGTTTAGAATGTGGTGATGTGCTAAAAGATAAGTAATCTGCATGATTATCATGGATGGTGGAGATTTGCTTATCATGGAATTGGATTATAGTAGTATAGCTTATGAATTGTAATGCTATAATTTAAAAACAATAAAATAAATAACCTTAACATTGGAATAAAATACAATTATTACACCAAAAGTGGTTATGGCTGTGTATATATATGTCGATTTGTAAATGTTCCATAGACTCCGAATACTTCTACTTCCTCTAGCTCTATTTCTTTTGCAATTCTCCGAGTCCATAGGCAACAACCTGATTCTATGAGTAATAGTAATAGTAACACAATGCCGCCAATTATAAAAGTATTGATGAGGCATCTTTGCAACTGACAATAATTGAATGATGGAGTCTTGTAATTGTATCCCACGTCCTCATTAGAGGAAGATTGCAATATCACGTACCATTCAGTGTTACTACAGCTCCACTTCTTTATATCAGGATTATGTACTGTACAGGAAGCATCATTAGATCTTTGTTTACAATCTTTAGCAGGAGACAAGTGGGAGGTATTATAATACACCTGATGGACGGTAATGTCTGAGGAAACAGAAATGGTAGGATCATCAGTTATTAGTATAACGTAATAATTAGCAGACTCATTAATCATGATTAATACATGGTTTACAGTGTCATTGGTCAAGCAGTATGCTTTTACAACATTTGAGCTGTTGTGTCTACATGTAAGATATTCACTTTTTTTGTTAAACAAAACTAATTTTGCTGGGCATTGAGAGTCATTTAAACCAGACACTGTTAAGGTATAATTCATAATAGACCCAGGGAGAAGGTATACTGGATTATCACCAGTATTAACATTATATGGGGCACAATGCCCATAACTTTGAGGGATTCCTGATTGAAGAACTTGTGTTCCAGTTGGTGGAATAGATGAAGCCATGAACACTGTCACTCCAAAAGAAATATTCAATGAAACTGAAGACACATTATTAAGTACAGGAATGAGTGCACTACTGGACTGTATATCACCAATCTCCATCGACTGATCAATTGGAATTGGAGAATGATGTGTGATCCCTATGCTAGTACTAACACCAACTACAAGAACAGCTAAGATTGGCACTAATACTAAAATAATACAGGCGGTCACTCCTAGAATAAAGCATCAATCATATTTATGAATGATTATGGGTAGTGAAAGACTTACGAGAGTGATTCGTGATAGCAGTAGGAGTAGATGATTGAGATGTGTGTGGTTGTATAAGTGACTCCTGACTCTCACTGACTAATAGTTCTGATAGTTGCTGCTGCTCTGGTTCTTCACTAACTGATGGTTCTGATAGCTGCTGCTGCTCTGGTTCTTCACTGACTGATGGTTCTGATAGTTGCTGCTGCTCTGGTTCTTCACTGACTGATGTTTCTGATAGTTGCTGCTGCTCTGGTTCTTCACTGACTGATGGTTCTGATGGCTGCTGCTGCTCTAGTGGTTCTTTAATGACTGATGGTTCTATAAACATATAAATACAATTAACAATTTAAAACACAGACACAGAGCAAATGACAGACAGACAGACATAGAAACATTACAGCATCATAGTAACAGTAGTAATACAATAATAACTATTACTGTAGAGTACATTGTTTACCACTACATCATGTACTAAAAGGAGCTCTGGAACTATTAATAAACATTGCACTTTACATCAAATTTATAATGTAAGTATTATACCACAATCATACTTTACAAATTATACTCCTAAACCGAACTGATCATAGCATAATCGTTGTATGCTCAAGCTAACAAATGCACACACACAGAGTCAATTCTAATACAACCAGTGACATTAACTTACTCTCTTGATCTAACTTGTCAGCTGCAGCATTCTCATTCATAGATTTAAGAGCATGTGACAGTGAGTCAAAGGTAGCTCCTCCTTTACTGTCAACATTATCAGCTCTACGCAACCACTTGGAGAGACATTCAATAAAACGGTCTTCTACTTTTGAGTAGTTTTCTGCAATAGCGTCCAGTGAGTCCATGAGTAGTCCCAGTGTCAGTCCTAGTTCCTTCCATCTCCTCTGAGGGAAACCACATTTCTTCAACAGATTAAGTACATCAATAAGTTCACCTAAATATATAAATATACTACAGACTACAGTTAATGGATTATTACTAATAGTTAATGGAGAAGAGCTGCTGCTGCTTGTGGTAGCCATTTGACCTTTTTTTAACGACCTGGGGGCTACGCCCCCAGGTCTTTCCTTGCAGGCCCGCCTGACTAATGCACGGAGGGGCGTTACTAGAATGCGGATCAGTGCGGATTGCTGCGGATCGTTCCGCACGCTGAACCAAGCACGTGAACGCGCGGAACGTGCACGGGCTTGTGCCTAGAATGCGGATCAACTCCCAAGAATTCAGAATATACACCATAACTTCCCGCGGATCAGTCCTCTTGTTCTTCTATTCCATTCAATCTTTATTTGTTGCAATGTTTAACTCTTTATAAAGTAAAAATAACTATTTTAAACTCAGTGTAATAATTTTAAACTTTGAATGTACGAGATTTCAGTGATCATATCAAAAGCCTTCAGTCATTGGTCATAGAATAAATTATACTGCATCTAGATCTAGTTGCAATGAAATGAGTTACAATCTGCATTGAAAACAAACATATAGTTGTAAAATTTAAACAATGAAAGTTGCCTCACAAATAACAATTATTTTCATTGTGTAAAAATGATTATTATGATATTACCAAAAATATAAAATATTCTATTGGCCAAAAA